AGGCCCGGTTACCTGGGCATTTAGACACCTTGAACTTTCTCAGCACTTGGCAGCCAGTGAGAATAGAATTACTACAGCAGCTTCTTAGCTAGTAGCCAACAACTTTTTTTCTTACAAAATCACTCTTCAGTGTTGCCAAGAAAAAAACAAAAAAAAAACAAAAATTGATTTTGTTTCACACCTGTTCAACTTCAATAGGATGGAAAATAAATGTTCACCCAGAGGAAAAATAAACTTGCACGGCACAACCCACAGAAGGCATGTCATAAATCGTACCTCACCGGTTGGCTTGTGGGACTCCACAGGACGCCTCCAGAGCTGAGTCTCTGCGCTAACTTGATGGCCTGTTTCAGCAGCTTTGTCCAGAAACGTATGGGGGCTGGAGAGCTCCCAGATCACCTTATCTAACCTCTTCTTTTTACAAATGAGAAAACAGGGGCAGAGAGGGGAAATGTCTTGCCCTAGAAACAAAACTGGGGAAGAATGTGACGAGCGTGGATATTTATATCTGAACACCTGAGGCCCAATTTTGTACTACTCTCAATTATTTCTACTTTTTTCAGAGCGTGATGAAATTCTCCAAAGTGATATGTTAAGGCTACCGCATTTTCCAGGAGGGAGTTTATAAATCGACATCACATCACAATAAAACCCAAGGGTATTGTGACTTCCAGTAAATTTACATCTGACCCCATAGCTTCCTAGAGCACAGATGAAGGACAGAGAAAAGAACAGTTGATTTGCCACCTTTTTTTTTTTTTTGATGGGCTTTCAGAGCAAAACTCAGTTACTAACGCATTGGGTTAGTTTTTTTTTTTTGTTTTTTTTTTAAGTCATTAACACACTGAGTTCAGTTCACTGACTTCTCAGTTGTCTGTGGCAGAAGAGAGAGAAGTGGTGTGTACAAGACAAGAAAATTCTAGATAAAAAAGGGAAAGCTATGGAGAAAATGTGTTGGTCTGGAGAGTGAGAAGGGTAGTTAATTGGTGGGTCTTGTATAAATTAAGGTATTTGCTGAAGGAAATAGATGTCAGACAGAATGGAACAAAAACTAACAGGATTAAGAGACTTAGTTGGGGAGTCAGAAAAAAATGAAGACAAAAAAGGGGGAGGGGGCCCCTGGGTGGCTCAGTCAGTTAAGCATCTGACTCTTGGTTTCGGTTCCTGTCGTGATCTCACAGTTTCGTGGGTTTGAGCCCCCATCCGGCTCCACGCTGACAGCAAAGCCTGCTTGGGATTCTCTCTCTCCCTCTCTCTCTCTCTCTGCCCCTCCTCCACCTACAGTGTCTCTGTCTCTCTCAAAATAAATAAATAAATTTTTTAAAAAAGGGAGAATGAGACACGTTTGAGGTTACTAAGTTGGAAAGGGATGGCAGCTCTCCAAGAAATGAGAGAAGAACAGAATGATGGTAGGCTCTGAAGCAAGACTGTTTCAAAATAGATTTGAGTGACTCTTACCAGCTAGGACTGGAAGGGACTCAAGAGCAGCTTTCACTGTGTTCTTGATGGATGGGTGGCCACCCAGTCTACTAGGACATCACCTGCACACCGGTGATGGGCTGTGAACGGTTACCTGCCATAATGCAGGTGCACGCATGGAGGTCAAGAATTTAGAAACTTGTCACAATTTGACAGAGTAATTGTATGTCTTTTGAATCTGATGATAAGATCATTGGAGCCTGCATTTTATTATGTGTCTTTTATTTCATTTTTTTTAATAATTCATTTTTTCATTGAGGTATAAGTGACATTATGTTAGCTTCTGGTGTACAACATAATGATTTGATACTTGTATACATTGTAAAATGATAGCCACAGTAAGTCTAGTTAACAGCTGTCACCTTACATAATTTCAATTTTTTTTTCTTGTGATGAGAATTTTAAGGTGGTCTCTCTTAGCAACTTTCAAATACGCTGTACAATGAACTGTAGTCGCCATGTGGTACATCATATCCCCATTATATTTCTTTTTCATGTTTGTTTATTTAATGTTTACTTTTAAGAGAGAGAGAGAGCACAAACAGGGAAAGGGCAGAGGGAGACAGGATCTGAGGTAGGCTCTGAGCTGTCAGCACAGAGCCCGATGCGGGGCTCAAACTCATGAACCGCGAGATCATGACTTGAGCCGAAGTTGGACCCTTAACCGATTGAGCCACCCCGGTGCCCCTCCTCATTATATACATATTTCACAAGATATTCATCTGGGATGTACCAAACCCACCATGGGGAATTTGAAAAGCATCAGTTGGCCACTCAGAGGGGTCTGGAGACCAGCAGCATCCGCTCTGCCTGAGACCTTGTTACAAATGCAGAAACTCAGGCCCCGCACAGACCTTCTGAATCAAGGCCCCTGGATGGCTCTTATGAACGCTGAAGTTTGAGGAGCCCCGTGCTTCAGTCCTTTCAGTGTCGGGTGGGTGAAATAATTAGAAGTTCTTCCTCGTGCTGCTTCTGGTTCCGCTTCACCGTACCTGACATCACGCAGGAAGGAGATCTCCTGTGATAGCACTTGAAAAACCACTATCAATTCAAACATGTATTTTACAAATAATTGTTGAAGGTCTATTCTTTGCAAACTGCTGGGCTACATTGTAGAGTTATGGTGATAAAGAGGACTCTGGCCTCAAGGAACTTCCAGTTAAATAGATAGGAAATGGGGTATGTACTTA